AAAAAAAATTCAAAAAAATCAGTAGTAGAAAAAATTACACCAAGTATAGCAATCATCCGCTTTCTGTCTTTTTGTCTATCCAAAACCCTCAGTGCACTTGTTTTTTATTATATCGATTCAATTAAATCGAATCGCAGATTACTTTTACACTTTCACACTTTTACACTTTTACACTTTTATGGGTGAAAAAAGGAAAAGTCAGAATAAAGAATACAGATGACGGTGGCGACTTTTCATTGTTCGGGAAATGAAAAAAAAAACGACGACGACGTGTCATTACGCAGAATAACTGTGAACGAAACAGATAAAATTGCAGACAGGGATTGAAAAACGATGATTGATTCATATTTACATGTTAATTGAGAATTTTAGACGCTTTTTTTAGTGTTATTTCTAATTGGAAGATCGAGGATACTTGGGTAGGTGACTGGTTGTACAATTTACCATTTTTTTCAGAAGTGGGATAAACAAATTTAATATCTTTTTGTCTAAATTCCAATCAACATTGTACAGATAAGGATTAAAAAAATGTATTTTATTAAAATTTAATTTTTAGTTCTCTAAATGAAAATTTATCATTTTGTTCAGAAAAAATGTATTATATTTATGTACAAAATCCAATCAACATTATATAGAAAAGGATTAAATAATGTTTTTTTTTTTTTTTTTTCCTAAATGTAAATTTACCATTTTGTTTGGAAATAGTATCTAAAATGTTATTATATTTTATTTCTGGCCAAATTCAAATTAACATGGTACAGCAAAGTATTAAAATATTTATTTTATTAAAATTTAATTTCTTGTTTCCTGAATAAAAATTTACCATTTCTTTAGAAGTTTTTTCCTAAATTTTATTATATTTCTGTCCTAATTCAAACCGACATGATACAGAAAAGGGTTAAAAAATGTGTTTTATTAAAATTTAGTTTTTTGTTCCCTAAATGTAAATTTATCATTTTTTTCAGAAGTTGTATCTAAAATTTTATTATATTTCTGGCCAAATTCAAATTAACATGGTACAGAGAAGTATTAAAAAATTTGTTTTATTAAAATTTAATTTCTTGTTTCCTGAATATAAATATACTATTTTGTTAGGAAATAGTATTTAAAATTTTATGATATTTCTGTCCAAATTTCATTTTACATTATACAGAAAGGGATTACAAATGTGTTCTATTAAAAATTTATTTCTTATCCAAAATTTACCATTTTGTTCAGAAGTTGGGTCTGAAATGTTATTATATTTCTGGCCAAATTCTATTTAACATTATAAAGAAAATGATTAAAAATGTATTTTATTAAAATTTATTTTTTTGTTTCCTAAATGTAAATTTATTATTTTGTTAAGAAGTTGTATCTAAAGTTATATGATATTTCTGTCCAAAATTCATTTAAAATTATAAAGGAAAGGATTAAAAATGTATTTTATTAAAATTTAATTTTTTGTTCCCTAAATGAACATTTTCATTTTATTCAGAAGTTGGTCTGAAATTTTATTACATTTCTGTCCAAATTCCAATCCGAAGTACACAGAAGGATTAGAAAAATATTAAAATTTAATTTTTCGTTCTCTTAAAGTGAATTTATCATTTTGTTCATAAATTGTGACTAAAAGTTCATTATATTTCTGTCTAAATTCCAATCAAAAGAAAAAAAATAAAGATTAAATAAATGTATTTTATTAAAATTTAATTTTTTGTTCCCTAAATGTAAATTTGCCATATTGTTTAAAAATTGCATCTAATATTTTATGATATTTCTGTACAAATTTAGCATTATAAAGAAAAGGATTAAAAATGAGTTCTATTAAAATTTATTTTATTGTTCATTCAGGAAAATAAAAATTTACTATTTAATTTTTTGTTCCCTAAGTGCAAATGATAGGCTTTTGTAATTAGATTAGAGATGTTTTTTCAATACACAAAAATTAATGTAAGGCCTTTCGGTTTTTTATCCAATTTTCGTCAGCTTGGATTTGTATTAAAATCTACTAGGACTTTGATTATTTGTTTTGTTTTACAAGAAAGTAGACAAAGTGGGATTTTAATTATGATAGCAGGGGTTGTCCTCTAGGTTTTCCATCCCTGTCCAATCCAAATAGTATCGTTTTTCGAATAGAACGTTTCGGTTTTTGTCTTTTGCCTTTTTTTTTTACTTTGTATTGTTCAATTCTTGTCACGCACTGCGTTCGTTTATCTTGTGCGAAATTGGAAAAACGCATTTAATCTAAAACTCACAGTTACAGGAGGCACAGATACACATTAAGAAAAAATACACACACACACACACACACACACTATTTCCAAATTTGGTCCCAAACGATTGGGAATAGCTTGATATGTCCAAACAATATAAAACTAAAACTTTGGGAAGTTAGTCATTGAAAATTTAATCTAAATATCTTGTTATGTATACATTTTTTAATCTTTGAGTCATAAGACCATTTAACTTCATTTTTCCACCGTCATCTGTATTCTTTATTCTGACTTTTTTTCACCCATAAAAGTGTAAAAGTGCGATTCGATTAAATTGAATCGATATAATAAAAAACAAGTGCACTGAGGGTTTAGGGATAGAAAGATAGAGATTAGTCTTCCTTACATTTCTGTAAAATAAATCTTACGAGTCGATTCCTCTTGTGATTTATCCATTTTTTTACATCCTCTGCTCTTTAGTTCTTAATTAGACAAAATGCACTTCAACGTCGCTTTTCCCATTTAATCTTTTGTATTTAAATTAACATCTTCGTCGTATAAATTAACAGTCCTCTCCAGTCTTTTTCTCAAGAATGATAAATCGTTGAACATTTGTATCGAGGAAAGATAACCGAGACTATTGTAACGAAATCAGGGTTTAATTAGATAAAAAGACAGATTGGTAAAGGAAAAGATATAAGAATCCTGTGAGCCTAAATTTAAATTTACACACGCCCAAAAACGATTTGTATCGTTCTCAATCTAATTTTTACTTACCAAGTCGATTATTTACAAGAATCGGGAATTTCTTGCAACTTGCCTTAAGGCTAAATGCCACTTACACCTAATCATTTCAATTTTATCTCAATTACTTAAAGAACACATTACTAAACAAAATAGTTTCTTGTAACATATTTTCTTAAACTATTCCTCGACGCGCGTTGTTTTTACGACCGACGATAAAAATTTAATGTTTTTAGCGAAAAAAATAAATAAAAATCGCACTAATGAAGATAAATGAACGAAAATTTATGAAAAATCATTTTTCAGTCGACTTTTGTGATTTTCATGCATTATTATTATAGGCGAAGGAAGGAATCATTAATAATCATTTTGAGGAACGGCAAAGATTAAGGTGATAGTGGTGGATTGGTGGAAAAAATGGGAAGAAAATAGTCGAGCTAATCAAGAAAATTTAAAAAAAATATTTTGGTAATTGGTAATTAGGAAAAAATAGCTTGGCTGATATTATTTAATGATCTTGAAAGAATTTTTTTTTAATTCAAAAGTTATGTATAACTTTATATGCACTAAAGAAGAGTATAGTAGGTAGTTGAAACGTATGAAGAATTTATTAAAGAAACTTTAATCACTTTTAGTGTCAGAACGTACAAAATAAATAGCAGTTTTATTTGCGACGAATTTTATTATATATATATATATATATATATATATATATATATATATTCTATTATCCCAATTTATTCCAAAATTATACTATCCAGACGCGATCTCATACAAAGAGAAGAAAAATGTTAGCAATAAGCAAAATAGAAATAGAAAAGTATAAAAGTAAATTATACCAATAGACAGACAGACGGACAGACAGACAAATAAATAGAAAAAGTTGTTCAGCTTTTGTATCTAAATAGCTAGATATAAAATTTTATTAGTTAACCGTTTCGTGTTTTCCGTTTTCGATGGAAAAATCAAATATGATTCTTATCCCAAGGGGTTGACTTCTCGACAAATTGCTGGGGCACATGTGTTTGTAATTGCTTAGGAAGGAAAAAGATAATATATATATATATATATATATATATATATATAAATGAATGTCTGGATATTATTCCAAAAGTTAAGAGATACTTTTTGTTCTTGACCTCACTTAAGATTGAATTTAACGCGCTCTCAATATATGCAAAATTATATTAAACTTAATTATAACACTATCAGTCGATTTCACACAATCAATAGAAAATTAATATTTTTTTTTAAAACAGTCTTAACCAAAAATGTTGAATAAATCCAGCGCAAACTCGTCATTATATATTGTCTTGTACAAGTTTTCGGGACATTTTTTACATTTTGTTGAATAACTCAAAATTTTTGTCCAGGACACTCTTTTTTAGTTAGCTTAGCAGAAACTAGATAAAATTTACTACCGATCTCTGTACACAGTTTAAAACAGCCTTGAACAAAATTTTTGTTATATTTGCATTGCCAATAACTATAATAAAAAATACAGATTCAATGATGAGTAAATTATTTATAAATTGATGAATAAATATTTATAAATTGATTGACTGTGAATTCATTTACAAGATCTTCCATAACTCGAAAACCATTCGATTAATATGAATGATGTGCCTGGTAAATTTGTTTAAAATTAATTAATCTAAAATAGTGTCCAACACTATAGATCCCTAGAGCAACTCGGTATACTCAAAATTTGACTTAGAAAACTCGTCTGATTGCTGTGCCATGTTATATTGGAGCTTATTTTTCTTGTGCATTCATTTACAAGATTTTTCATAACTCGAAAACCATTTGATAAATATGAATGATGTGTTTGGAAAATTTGTTCAAAATTTGATAATCTAAAATATTTTCTAATATTAAATGATATATGAGTCATTACTATTTTTTTAGATTATTTTTTTCTCTGTAAGTCTCGCATTTCAACATATTTTTCTAACAAAATTTACTTGCCTAATTTTTAACAAAACTTGATCATAACAAATAAAGACTTTTGATCTTTATATTATATACAATATTGAATACATATTTTTCTATTTTTTCCAGCTTCAAGTCCACCAACGACCTCACCAGGACCTCCAACCACCGAAGACCCATCTTTGACCAGATGGGGCGAAAATACTGGCAACAATTCTGTTTATGGTCATCCCTCCAGTTTGATTAATGTCAACCTACAGGATAAAGGTAAATTATAATAAATATATTAAAAAATTTTCCTTATTTATATGACACTTTTTAGTTCTCAAACTTTAACCATATCTATGAAGTTCTACTAAAATGCCTGAATTTTTTCTTCTTTATTAAGATCATTTAAGAGCAATTTTTCTATTTAGAGTTGAATACTAACTTGGACACATTTTATGTAATGAATCCAACCCAGTTTTCTTCAGACAGTATATTATTTTACCTTATTTATATACTTATTATTTTTCATATTTTGTGTGATTTTTCTTTCAATTTTCTACATTTTTCTCTAATTTTTCATGACGTCCAATATCTGCAATCATTTCTAGTCTTCATATTCAACTACAAGTGAAACTACTTGCTATGATTAAATATTTATCTAAGACATCCTATTAATATGCATTAAATTTAGTTGAACATAATCTATCAAACGCATTTAACATTTGACGTATAAGCTGCCCTCTAATATTTCATTTTAAATTAGGCTTCTACATAAAAAAATTAATTTAAAAATGTAAAGTTTCTACGTGAATTTGAAATAATTTCTCATCTTTCCCACAATTTTTAAATTAGCACGAAAAATCCAAGACTAAAAGTGGCCAAATCGGTTCAGTCGTTTTTGAGTTTTAGCGAATCTAGCATCACGCTTTATTTTTATACATAACATATATATATGTATATATATACATATATATATATATATATATATAAATTTCCATTCCGCTTGATCTGTTAACGAATCCATTAGCCAAATTATTCTTCATCTCTTTAAAGTAAATCTTTTGGATGTCTCTCTTGGCAAATGTCGAATATATATATATATATATATATATATATATATATATATATAAATTTATCTTCAAAAGGAGAAATGAATCTTTTAATCTGTTTTTTAGATCTTTTACTAATCTTCCTAATGAAAAACATATTATAAGGTACACCTACGTACGTACTTACATTTCTATACCCTTGGGTCGATATTTTAAGATACTGAACCGTAAAAAATACATACAAAAGTAATAATATTTTATTTAACATAATTTATTTATTCATAACCAAAGCATTTTTGATAATTGTTGCCACAAATTTGAAAGAAACATACATAGTTAGATATAGATACTAAAACACTTTAAACCAAAACAGTTGTAAGATCAAACTTGTAACACAATAGATAAAAATAAATTACCTAATGTTTATTATAATTTTACCAAAAACTAAAATTGTCTAAAAAAATTTAGACAAAATCTAAGATAAGGTATTATCATCTTCACAAGTCATATTTTTAAATTTACTTCAAGCCCAATTTTGTGTAAAATACAAATATCATGTTTTGAGACATTTTTCGCATTAATTGTTTGTTAAAAACTATTTCTAGTGTTTTGAATTTTTATTGTAGTTCTGCTTCTTTTGCTGAATGATGACACACATCAAGTGCCGAAACGTATAATTAATAAATAAAATTTTTTTTTAACTCTTTTTTCATTTGAATGTAAGGACTGCTATTTTTTTTTATTTATATATATACATTATTTTTATATCTCAGACAGACAAAAGTGCCTGGGATGAGAGATTATGAAAACAGTTTTCATATTTTATATATACATTTCATTAATATAATATCCATTATAATTGAAATATCTTTATATAACTTTTCAGTCTTCCTTGTCTTCAATTTCCTGATAATATTTCTTTATTTTTATTTTATTTTATTTTTCTTTTCTAATTATTTCAAATGTTTCAACACCAAAATGAATAATTATTTAACAATAACAATTCAATTTATTTTTAAACGTCTATCTAAATTTTAAAGTGCAGTATATTAAAAACGGCCAAAATTTTTATGTTTAAATTTAATATATCTTAATATTAATAAATTATTATAATATTATTAAAGTTCGACCACCTATTTAATATTAATATTTTTATTTACCTAACACTATCTGTTTTGACAAATAGTTTATATAATTCTTTTAAATATTAGACAAGGTCCTTCATTTTAAATTCGATTGATTGATAATTAAGTTTTGTTAAGTGAAAATGCTGCCAAGCTAAACACAATATAAGTGAAAATGTCGCACATAATTATTTGCAAATGCGTTTAGACTGTGACTATACGGGAGCACTTTTTCAATTTTGTGTAAATTATGCAACTATTTTTTTTAAATGAATTCGAAATGAAATGACGATTGTTAATGTTCTGGAGATAAATTGATTTATTTATAATTTACTTTGGATTTGCTCAGATATAACAAGATAGCAAAAATAATGAAAGTTACAGTATTTGTAATAATATATTTAAAAACGTTTAAAATTTCTCGAATATTTTGTTACGGTACGGGAAGTTCCAGCAATTTGCCTTAAGGCACGATGCCATACACCACTAGTTTAATTTTAATGCTAAATTTAGACACGAGTTACGTTTACCCATTCATAGATGGCGCGTAAGTGTATTTGTTTCGAACGCTTCATGCAAAAAATATCTCGAGGGCAATTTAATAGTAAAACTTTGTCGCCGCTGCAAAGCAAATGAATTTATGTGAATAAACTAAATATTTTTTGAAGGACCGGTGGTTTTGGGTTTGGTGATGGGATACTGCCGGTCCACTATAAACTTATCATAATATAAAACATAATATATAATATATATATATATATATATATATATATATATTCTATATAATATATCTATATATATATATATATATCCTAATACTATATATATATATATATATCTATCCTATCTATATATATATATAGATATCTATATATATATTATGAGTAAGTTCTTCAGGGCATACATCAAATAAAAGGCAAAGATTTAGAAGTTAATCTTTAATTTTTTCCAAACGTTTCGACATTGTATTTTAATGTCATCATCAGTGGATATAAATATGGTCTTACATCAGTAGCTAGCGCAAGGAACATAATTTTGCACTATTATATATATACACTAACTTGTTTTTTTTAATATTATTATTTTGTTGAACAGAGCATAGTAAATATTTGTGAAATATATAATATATTTTGCACAGAGAACGTAGTTTATTTGACCGAGCCCGAGGCTGTAGTCAATTTGACAACAATTTGGAGATATTTGACAACCTAATATTTCAGGGTTACAATTTAAACTAGCTGTAAGTGGAATTTTGTCTTAAGGCATCGTGCCTCAAGGCAAATTGCTGGAACTTCCCGTACCAAAAATTATTGTTTTTTTAAAAACGATTGACATTTTTAAAAAAAATTTACTTCGAAAAAATAAGATTTTTGAGAAACTATAAATAGGACAAAAAATTTCCTCCATATCTCCGAAACCGATAGACTTACCTTCATGAAAATTTTATCAATTCTTCATCTTGTCAATACAAGTGAAATGTTTTTTGAATTATTCAAATCGGACGCTCCGTTCTCTTAAAAACTGAGTTACCGTTTCGGCACTTTTTGCTCCGTATCTTCGGAACGGCTAGACCTGCCTTCGCCAAAAACTAATCAGCACGTCTCCTTCTCAATACGAATCGAATGTTCTTTGAATTATTCAAATCGGTTGATCCGTGTTCCCGAAATCGTCGACCAAAATTTGTATCCGCACACACACACACACACATACATCCATTTTTTTCTAAGGTATGCCAAAATATTCAGAAACCTCTGTAACGTAAAGATATATAAAAATTTTCATTTTAGATTTTTTTGCGATTACTATAAATTGCCCTACAAGAAGTTAAAAAGTTCAGAATTTCCAAAATATTTCAAAATAAATTATTCTTCAAAAAGTCTTTTTTTCAAAAAAAAGTAAGTTTTTGTCTGAATTCGAAATGAAATGACGATTGTTAATGTTCTGGAAATGAATTGATTTATGATTTACATTTGATTTGTTCAGATATAACAGGATAGCGAAAATAATGAATGTTACAGTATTTGTAATAATATATTTGAAAACGTTTAAAATTTCTCGAATATTTCATTACGGGAAGTTCCAGCAATTTGCCTTAAGGCACGATGCCATACACCACTAGTTTCTTATTGATTAAGTCGATTAATTACACATATCTGGGAAGTTTGTGTAACTTGCCTAAAGGCAAAATACCAATACAAACTAGTTTAGTATCGACCTTAACCTTAGTTACGCTTGCAAATTCATAGATGACGCGTGTGTGTACCCTTCTCAAAGCACTCCTTGTAAAATATTGCTCAAAATGGATTTAGAAACTTCAAATTGATAACCAATGTAATTTAGAAATTTAAACAACATTCTTTTTTGCACATTTTTTGGAAAGGACCGGCGGTTATATGTATATATATATACATATATATATATATATATATATACAGTGCTGGTCCACAATAAACTTATTATATGTAAGATAAACTAGTGGGGCGCATGGCATCGTGCCTTAAGGCAAATTGCTGGAACTTCCCGTACCAAAAATTATTTTCTTTTTAAAAACGATTAACATTTAAAAAAAATTAGTCTGAAAAAATTAGATTTTTGAGAAACTATTATATATTAAACTTTTTCGGGAAGCTAACAATTGTAATGGGATATGATAATATTTTTTCAAGATCAATATTTTATTGGATTTATCGCGCTAATAGGCGACCAACCAAATCACGTTGGACACGAATTTCGTGAATTTTATTATTAGCTTTAATAGGTTTCTTCTTTTTTTCTGAAGAAGAAATTCATAATTTTTACCTGTGAAATTTTTTCTTCAAATCTCTTACCCTCCGTTGAACATTCAGAAATGAATGTTTTTTTCCAATTTTCACCTATTTTCATAAAATTCAATAGCTACTCAATAGAAACCTGAATTGAAGTATTAATTAGCGATATATCTGATAATGATGATTAATTCATGATAATATATATTTTATTGTAACTAATTAAGTTTATTTTGACCATAATTTGTAATTTCTCATAATATAGTTTGAATATATGCTATAAGTTTTCACGCAACGCCTATTACTCGCCTCCCGCCATAGCATTTTTGCCCTCGTCTGGC